ACATTTTCAACAACAATCTGAAGAAGGCAGCAAGCCTTTTGTACATGTGTGTGTGTGTGCATGCAGACTTTTTGTGTCTTATGTAATTGTATGCAGCATTAGGGACCTTTTTCAGAAACAGATGGAGCTCTTAGGACTTACCTTTACTTAAAGTCCTTACTAGCAGCTTCTCATACACCTTTCTTGAAGGTTGGTAGGAACAGAGTATCCAAACATCAGTTTCTTGAGGAATAGTTTCTGTGCTTTAAATAGACACAATATCTTAATCCGTATTAATCTTCAAACAGAAAAAAAGACATTTTTCCATGTAAGAGATGATATTGCACTCTTGGTAATCACTCAGTCTTTAGCTACTACTTTTTATTTAAAATATCAACTAGCTCAGCATCAGCACGTTAGCAGGAGCGTGAGGACTGATACTGCTATACTGGTAAAAGCATAAAAAGTGAAATTCTTTTGCCAGTATAATTGGCTCCATTGAGGGAATTGGTTTAAGCTGTACAAGCAAAAACTACTCTTTAAATGGTAACAATTGAGCTGCCACGAGGCAGCTTTACAAGGCATCCTACCACAAAATCCTTTCATGTGGAGGCAAGGCTTTAGGCACAGGTTTATCCCATCTAACTGAGGAGCTGAGGATGACTATATAGCTGGGTTGGATGACAGTTGAATGATTTGCATCTGGGGCTCAGGCTCTTTATGATGATTGCTAGCCAGCAGCAGCAGGACTGGTATCAGTACAGTCTTGGGAGCCAGTTTCAAGCCTTTCTAGATGTTTTCATGTGGGCCACCACTGGAGTGCGTTCCAGTGGTGCTGGATCTTTGCCAGCAGTGGCACAAATAGCTCTTCTGTTGACTGAGCTGCTGTGTCCCCCTCACCCACTACGCAGCACAGGCATGCGAGAGGACCACCTCTGCAGTCAAGACCAGGAGTTTTCTTTGACCCGTGTCCTTTCCCTTTGGTGACAGGCCGCTGTGCCCGCTGTGGGGAGAATGTTGTTGGGGAAGGCACAGGCTGCACGGCCATGGACCAGGTCTTCCACGTGGAGTGCTTCACCTGCATGATGTGCAACAACAAGCTGAGGGGACAGCCTTTCTATGCAGTGGAGAAGAAAGCCTACTGCGAACCCTGTTATATTGTAAGTACCCATTCTTGTCTGCACCCTGGTTTTAATGCACAGACATTGGAAACATTGATTTCTTTCATTTCTGTACAGTTGCTTTACAGTTAAAGCCTGACAATCTCATGGCAGTGCCATGGACACCAGTTTTTCCATGGTCTTCAGAAGAATTGTGATCTTTTCAGCTTCCTGGGTGAATTTCATTTCCTGGTCTAACCTATCTCTGAAATGAAGTGGTCAAAGCAGGGGAAAGAGGTGCTTTCTGTGATTATTTCAGCTCTGTAAGGGGCAGACTATGCAGTGATTTTTAAGCGGTAGTTTTTCTCTTAGAAGCTTTCTGTGTTGAGAAACTTAATACCAAAATGCTTACAGGCTGTGGTGCCTACTAAGATTAGGAGTTGGGATGCAAGATAGCACTAAAACTTCTAAAATCAAGACCTTCTTATTGCTTGATGGAAGCCCTTCTACTGATCTAAGGGTCTTTGGATTGGATATCTTTTGAAGGTTGCCCTAAAATTTCATTTCATGCCTCCAACAAGCTCTTAAAGCAAACAATTAACAGTTGCTCTGAGGAGCTGCACCTTTTAAGAGGCTCCCATAAGAGCTAGTTGGAACCAGTTGCACAGCTGCAAATTAAAGAAACATCACATAATGTGCCTGAGGCCTTACCTTGGTATGACCTTAATATACAGTATGTAGGGATATCCTTATAATTTAGAATAAGAAAAACACCAAAATGTTCTTAAAACATTGATAGGTCTTTCTTTAAACCTCCAATTCAGAGTTCTTTTTATAAACACTGGACCTGATACCCGTCCAGAATGGGATTTGCACTTCTGAAAGTAAAAATTGATGCTTTCCTCGATATTTCTGGCATTCCAATAATAATTAAAGCAATAAGATGTATTTTTGAGAATGTCACCAATATCGCATTATTCCTTCTGTTTCTGCGGAGCCTTTGCAGTGGGATTATTGCTGAAATATTGAATATAAAAAGGGAGGATTCTGTCTTATTTACAATGGCAGTGATATATGGGCCTTGTTATTTGGCTTTTAAAAATGAAATGATCTTTTGATGGAATATGTACCTTTTAAACCATTTCCATTTTTGTTTGCACTAAACAGATTGCACCATAAAGAATTTGAGGTTAACTTTGTGGCAAGTTTGACCATGTGCGAAGCACTGCAGGCTTTAGGAAGATGCATTCATAATATGATTGGAGGAATTTTAACTGGAATGAAACATTTCATTGACTTCAGGCTGGAATTGACTTCATCTGCTTGCGGATTGATACTTTTTTCTCTTTTTTTTTTTAAATCAAGCATGTGTTCTTCACCACTCATCTGCTTTAGTTTGGGAAATCATCTTCATTAGCCACTGTAGTAATGGTTTAAGATTATTTAATCCCATTACTTATACACTTCATTAGCCTGAGTGAATTGTTGGCAAGGGTTCAGTAAACTTCCTACATCGGGAGATAAAAGGATAAAAAAGGAAAGGGAGAAGGATTCTGTTCCTCGTTTTCTTTCAAATTTATCTTCTATCTATTTAAGGGATAAAGGAATGATAATTGCCTGGTTGCATCTGCAGTGGTACGTTCTGTGATACGACTTTGCAGCTCTGAGTACAGAGGAAAGAGTAAACGTTTAATGGCTTTCTTTTATATAATCAGAAGGGGCCTTTAAATGTTTATCCATGCTGTCAACAAAAACCTGGTTATGGATTTAACCCAAAACACGTTCAGATCCATCTGCTCCTGCATATGCAGGGGAAAGGACGGCACTGCTGATGGGGCTACGTATGTGTAGCTGGACAGCTGGTACTGTGAGTGGGAAATAGAAAACAGGAATCTGGCAGTCTGATGTGGCGAAGGAAAAAAAAACCACCCAAGCACACATTAAACTCTTAAATGTGGAAGAAACAAGCGTTGGGAGCCTAAGTCTTGATACCCTTCAGAAAGCTCAGGACTCTGCTGTGCCGAAAGCCAGATCTACCAAGGATCTAAGCACCTGTCATGCCTTTGGCTTTAGGCCTGAGGAATTTGTGTCATAGACCATATGTCTCATTGATTTTTCAATGAAATGAGGTCTGCATTGGCTTCAGTGGTATGGTGAGTGCGTAAGTACACTGAGGGCCTGAGCTAAGCTTGCAAGTTGTTCTTGCAAATGGATTGGGGGCCCTTCGATTGCTGGGGCACAGTCTGAATGCTTTTGCCTTTAGATATGTGATGTGGTCATACTGAAGTCAATGAGAGGTAATGACCTGCTTAAAATCTAGCCTGTGCATAAGGATTTTGCTGAATTGTGGCCTCTGATTTTTTTTTTTTGGAGTTTTCCCAAATCCCATTATCAGAAAAAAACTTTGACACTTGGAGCTGTAGTTCTGTAGAAAATCAAAGGGAATGAAGAACCCAGACTCAGATTCCTGTGGACCTGAATTCCCATGGAAGGTGGAGCCTGTGTGACTAGCCCAAGATTGCACAGCTAATCCATGGCTGTGGTGAGATGAAAGAATGGGATTCTCAGCTGGTATAAATTTGAGTAATTAAATGAAGCTTGTTTACTGGTCTACTTAATTCACACTGATTTCTAGCACACATCCCCATTTCCCTAAGTCCAAAAGTTGTGACCCATTATGCAAGCCATTAGCCCAAGCTGCTTTGTTTATTTAATGAGCTATAGTATTTGTCTGGTCATGATATATAAATTCATGAATTCTTTGATTATTTTTTTAATAATTCCCTTGTGTGACTTGTGGCCTGATGTGCATAAAAACTCTGCACAAAAATAAAAATACACTTTTTTCAACAGTTAGAATTGGCTAATCTTCTCAGTTTATGTGACTCTTCTTAGTTGTGGTGGAGTGAAGCTGTAATTAAGATTACTGCGAAGAGCTGTATTTAATTACTGGTTAGTCAATACCAAGCCTAAATAGCCTGAAGAAGGGTTGGTTTTTGTTTTTGTTTCTGGTTTTATTTATCAGTGACCAAGTTAAGAAATTCCCCAAAAGTCTGAATTAACATCTAAGGAGATCAGTCACCTGTCTTAAAAAATACTTTTCCTAATGGGAATTTGAGTACCAGAGTTAATCTTTCACACAAATCCCCCCACCCAAAAGCCAGTCACTATCATTTCCTGTTACATCTTATGAATGCAGTGACTTCTGCTGCCAGTGTGTTTGCTGGTTTTGCTCCGCATCCAAGGATTCTTTCATTATTGATGTTATTTCTAAAAGAGTACCAGTCTTCTCTATTAAGACACTTCTGCTGAACTAAAAGCAACTGCAAAAAATAAAGTGTTAATAGGAGACAGATGTCTCCTAGTCATTACGACAGTCAAGTAACATCTGAAATACCATGATAGGATTTCCAGTGTAACCAGCATACTGCTGTACATGTGATGAATGCTGTGTCTGCAGTATGTTATCGGTATACTTTTCCCCTCCCTTACAAGGCAAATTACTGACAAAAAACATTTGGTTTGCTTCCTTTAAGTAGTTTAAGAGATTTTAGCACTGGACTCAGTGCAGGGAAGAGGTTAAGAGTAATATCAGTGGGACTGTTGTTATAAAAGATTGAAGAGCAAGATGTTAGAGCAGTGCCAGCTGTCTGCTGTCCAAATACCGTATTATCATAAGGACTGAACACAAGGTTAACCAGACACACCGATCTGGCAAGAGTGATGCTGCTGTTTTGTGAATGGGATGTTCTTTGATGTCCTGATGACTTTCTTGGGGACATGGAAATTTTCCTCCATTCTTTATCCTCTTTCCTGGCAGTCTGGTGGTTGGCAGAGGGCTGAGAGGTGCTGAGCACCTGCAGTTCATGCAGAAAGCAGCAAGATCTTGCAGATGCTCCTGGCCTCTGAGGGTTTCTTTTGTTGTGTCCAAGCCAACGTGACCCACTGCTGGGCCCTCAGGGAAGGACCATGGTGCAATAGGGAAGGGGACAAGAAAGCAGAAACAGCTAACCAAGCAAAACAGAAATAGCTAGGCTCAGAAGAAGGAGATTTTGGAGGAGTGGTGGGCTAGAAATGATGAGTAATTGAAGGACAGGAAAGAAACTCTCATATCTGTCTGTCTACCTGGAGAGTGGGGGAAGATGGTGGGTGTGCTCTACAGTGCGCTCTGGAGACTCAGGGACCAAGGTTTCCTGTTTCTGCTGAGCGCTGCAAGATATTGAGGACATGACCTTAAACCCTACCCCAAAGATCACTTACGAGGATTTGGCAGGGTGAGGTTCATCTTTCCATAGTACTAAAGCTGGGGAAGTGCTTGAAGGGGGAAGATTTGTGCGCGGAAGTCATGCCCTGGTCACTGCTGTTCCCCAGCTTTAAACTCAGGATTGTAGCACCCCACTTTTTGTCCCCAGTTATTTGTTTTGGGGGAAAAAAAACCCCATAACTTCAAGGTTTCTCTCTCTTGCTAGCTTCTAGCTGCCTGGCCTATCAGAGGCTGTAGTTCAGTAGGAGAAGGTAGTTCAGACCAGACCACAAGGGAAGTGCTGATACTTTAGGAAATGGTATGACTAGAGCCACTGGTGCCACGGAGCATCCTGGGAAAGCTTAAATTTGCTAATCACTCTGGAATGTCGGTGTTAACTCAATTTGTGCTCATTGAAATCTCTGGTAAAACCGCTATTGGCTTCAGTGCGACAGGTATTGTAAACCTCACCCTGCGTGTGCACGTGAGTGTGGTTGGTTGATAGCTGCGCAAGAGCAGCTACCTCCAGCACATACAGCTTTAAGTGTAAGGTTGATCCCTGCAGTAAAATTACATCTATTTTTAAAAATAATTCTGCAATTTGTAAGCAGAGATTACAGCGCTAATTTAGCAACCATGTAACAATTTAAATTGGACCAGAAAAGAGAAACTATAATTTAAAGATTTTTTTTATGATACAAGTTTTCTTCTTTTTAAAGTAAAAAGCCCTTTATTCTTGTTTTTGTCGAGCAATGTATTGAATTTGAGAGTAATTTATGGAAAGTGCTGCCAGCGTGGTATTGCGAGTGCTCCACAA